TCTTTGATTCTATGATCAATCTGCAAGTAATTCTATTCCGACTTCTATTCCCTGGAATCCTGACCCACAGCAAAGAACGGTGATGGGATGGAGTACAAATGGAGATAGTTGGTGTCAAAATTTTGTCTCCATAGCACCCTGTAGGCCAGATAACAACCAAGAGTATTTCTGATATGTATCTTTGTTTCCTGTCAGATGCTTCCTGTTGAGTTTTCACGCGAAGTCTTTACTTCTGCTTTCTCCTCAAGTAAAGAGAACCGAGGAAGAAAAGTTATATTTGTCCTTCAAGCTCATGAAGATGTTTGTTCTCCTGCTTCTGGCTCTTCTCAGAGATGCTGCAGGTGGGTATCTCATGAAAGAATTTTCCAACATCCTTCCAAATTTGCATCTTGGAGTCTTAAGGATTCATATCCACAGTTCTCTGAGGTACAGTTAGGTTCATTTGAAGGGATGGGGTTGAGATTAAGAGTTAACACAACTAGGAAAGAGTTGAGGTCCTAAAGCCATGGGTAGCCCCAGCTTACCTGTTCCGGCCCAGCTTACCTGTCCGAACGTATCTCTCCTTCTGAACCATCTAGGAGCTTACGATCATCTGGAGAGACCCTGCTCTCGATCCCACCTGCTTCGCAAGCACGATTGGTGGGCAATGGAATTGAATCAAATTTGGCACACAGAACTCCCATCACCAAAAGAAAATACTGGAAGGGTCTGGTGGGCATTGACCTTGAGTTTTGGGAGTTGTAGTTCACCTACATCCAGAGAGCACTGTGGACTCAAACAATGATGAATCTGGATTAAACTTGACACGAATATTCAAAATGTCCAAATGTGAACACTGGTAGAGTTTGGGGAAAATAGACCTTGACATTTGGGAGTTGTAGTTGCTGGGATTTATAGTTCACCTACAATCCAAGAACATTCTGAACCCCACCAACGATGGAATTGAACCAAACATGGCACACAGGACTCCCATGACCAACAGAAAATACTGGATAGGTTTGGTGGGCATTGACCTTGAGTTTTGGAATTGTAGTTCACCTACATCCAGAGAGCACTGTGGACTCAAACAATGATGGATCTGGACCAAACTTGCATGAATACTCAATATGCCCAAATGTGAACACTGGTGGAGTTTGGGGGAAAATAGACATTGACATTTGGGAGTTGTAGTTGCTGGGATTTATAGTTCACCTACAATCAAAGAGCATTCTGAACCTCACCAACGATGGAATTTGAACCAAACTTGGCAACAGAACTTCCATGACCAACAAAAAATACTGGAAGGATTTGGTGGGTATTGAACTTGAGTTTTGGAGTTGTAGTTCACCTACATCCAGAGAGCATTGTGGACTCAAACAATGATGGACCTGGACCAAACTTAGCACGGATACTCAATATGCCCAAATGTAGAGCACTGTGGACTCAAATAATGATGCATCTGGACCAAACTATACACGAATACTCAATATGCCCAAATGTGAACACTGGTGGAGTTTGGGGAAAATAGAATCTTGACATTTGGGAGTTGTAGTTGCTGGGATTTATAGTTCACCTACAATCGCAGAGCATTCTGAACCCCACCAACGATAGAATTGAACCAAACTTGGCACACAGGACTCCCATGACCAACAGAAAATACTGGATAGGTTTGGTGGGCATTGACCTTGAGTTTTGGAATTGTAGTTCATCTACATCAAGAGGGCACTGTGGACTCAAACAATGATGGATCTGGACCAAACTTGGCATGAATACTCAATACTCCCAAATATGTGAACACTGGTGGAGTTTGGAAAATAGACCTTGACATTTGGGAGTTGTAGTTGCTGGGATTTATAGTTCACCTACAATCAACATTCTGAACCCCACCAACGATAGAATTGAGCCAAACTTCCCACACAGAACTCCCATGACCAACGGAAAAACTGTGTTTTCTGATGGTCTTTGATGACCCCACTTACACCCCTTTGTGACCCCCCCAAGGGTCCCGACCCCCAGGTTGAGAAACGCTGATCTAGATAGACTTCAGGAATTCTCCATTCCTACTCAAGAGGAGCAGATCAGGCCAGATTCCACTCCCTTCATTGCAAACCCAGAGGTTCTCAAGCTCTGGTCATCTAAGTGTTTTAAACTTCGTATCCTCAAAGACCCAACCGACATGGACGGAGATTCTGGGATTTGAAGTCCAGCAACATCTAGAGGGCCAAGAAACTGCTCTGTTAGAGAAATCCAAATTGCTTAAACTCTTTATTCACTGACATGCTTTTCTATGATAGGAATGACCTTCCTTTATCATCATGAAAATGCAACTCAGAAATTGATCTGCAGCAAATCAAGCGATCAAGACAAAACAGGCTGGTGGTTCACAAACAAATCCTTACAAAGCTTCGGACAACAGAGTTCCAATTCAATTTCTTGTGAAAGACAGTGTGACCCACTGGTTCCATGTCACACGAAAGGGAAGGGGCGTGATTTCAGGTGCAGGCACGGTGGAATCGTTGCATGCAAAAACCTAATGGGTAACACATCAAACCACCTCCCACTGTTTTCTCGGGAAGAAGACTGCAGGGATTTTGACTTCTTCATTGTATCAAGAACACAGAACAAAATAGGTGAGTGGATTTTTTTTGCATGCACAAAAAGAGCATCAAAGTGGTCAGGGCAGTGGCAGTTGGGATGAAGTTGGGACGGATGGAGGGCGGGGCCTTTCATCTGCTTTTGAGACAATTGGGATGGAAGAAGGG